AGGTCTCTTCCAACCTAAATGATTCTGTGTGATTCTGTGCCTAAAACCACGGTGGCTGTGCTGCGACTTACAATCCTTTGGCTCTCCTCAAGCCCCAGGCCCCGCACAGTGCTCCACAAGAGCAATAAGCATGGTGAAGCTTAGTGAGTAGCCCTACGCCAGCCAGTGAAACTTTTCTTGGAGGAAAGAGATGTTCAACAGAGTGGGTGAGAGGAAATCTCTAATGACAGACTGCACAGCCATCCCTGAATACCAATGAGACCCCCCCGTGATCTCACAAAGGGGCTCTGCTACCGACAGCGAAGCTGCTGCCTTCAGCAGCTGGACCATGCAGAAAGCAAATCTAGCCTCGGTACATGTGTAGTTCCAGGGGCACCAGAATGTATTCAGTCACAGGATGTCACATCTTACCCTGCAGGGCTCTCAGAGATCGGGAACCATTTACAGAATGAAAGATCTGTTCTAAGCAGTAAGGAGGAAAAACTTCTCTCAGAATACTTTTCTTTTTTTGTACTGCTTTGTAAGACAATGGATTGAGAGGTGAGCAACGAAACAAAGGGGAAAGAAGGTATCAGTAACTGACACAAGTTATTTCCACTCTTACCAAGACATGTCTGTCCATCAGGTCCTAGTGTCGTCCCCAGGGAACACGTGCAGTCACTGGTGTCCAGGCAGGAGCCCTGGCAATCCACCACATCACAGATGTCATAAAAATCTAGGGCATGACAAGAACATTGTCAGCACAAACCACTGAGCATGCAAAGAAAACACTGTATTTGTGCCATCAGCTTCACACCCTGCGTCTAGCCCATCAGTTACAGACCTAGCCCACATTAGGAAAGCTGTACCACTGAAGCTGATGAGAAACTATCTAATTTAATTACTGTAAGTCAGAGATGCAAATTTTGGCTTTGGTAACATGCCAAGACAAACCACAGGGCCCACAGGGAGCATTAAATCACTGAGGCCAGGTCAGCTACAGAAGCTTTCCGCTAGCTGAACAGCGGCTAGAATTCACGGAGGTGAAACTGTCTAATGGATCTCATACAGACAGGCCACCATCTGCACTGCATCGCTTGACACGCTTCTGGGTGAGAAAGCCAAAAACCAGTCACCACCTCTCTCAGGTATACGGATGCTCACAACCTCTCCTGCATCACGGGGACAAAGGGATTTCAGAGAAGCGATCTCAGCAGTTACTTACGCCCACAGTACGCATGGAAACAAACGCTAGGCTTGGTTAAGTGATAGACGTAATACCCGCCCGGACACGCCTTGACGTCAATCGTGGTATTCCAAAGGCAGCAGTTCCCATTGAAGCTGGCACAGGCTTGGCGTGGGACGATGCCATCCGACTCCCGCGGGTGGCTGCCATTCAGCCAAATAGGAGCGTGGGTGCCACAGTGGTTCTCCGGGATGCAGAAGGTAGGCATAGCATCGCCAGCCATGCCAGTGAAGCGATACCACTCCCCGTCAATTTGACTGTCGCATGTCGGCTGGCCGTGGGAACCGTTTATCTGATGATCTGTGTTCCTCCAGGGCTCATTCAGGCTGATGTAGGCAGAGCAGGGGTCCAGGGCTGAGACATGCCGCAAGAGACAAGAGAGAACATCTGGTAGATATCAAATGCAAAATAACTTCTTTATCTATTCCCGACTTAACAGAATCATTGTGATAGGTAGAGATCCCCAGGTAGAAACAGTGATACCAGCTAACTAATTGCCTTTTGGAAAATTCTGACAGCTCGGCTTAAATATCTTGGAAGAAAAAGTAAATGCTCTTATGATGAGCTCTTACGATATTACGCAACCATATGACTTGCCGTTTAGCTGCTGTAGAGCGTGATGGGGAAAAAGAAAAAAATGTAAGCAAATCTGAGGTCCAGGTAGTGATTTTGCCATAGGAAATACATCCTGGGAGCACTAGGTCTAGCCTAGGACATCCACCCTTTGTTCAAGTACTAACCGAGCATCTGCAAGCCCCTCCTGAAGTCACTGGCAACTCCCCCACATGCCTTGGAGAAAGGGATCAGACTTCAAACAGGTTATGCAGCCTCTCTCAAAATCCAGCCATAGCCAGTGTCAGCCCTCGCAGTTGAGTTGCCATAACCACAAGCCAGAGATCACCTCGCACAAAGCATCAGTTAAAATGTGAACCGCAGGATAGGCAACAGGAATGCTACATTTAAGGTCTACATAAAGAAAATATTCAATTTCAATTATTAGACTCCTATATAATCGTAAGCAATCTCTAAGCATAATTTATCAGCTCCTACTTATTTTAGGGTACAATTTTAAACTGCTAAATATAACAACTGCTCTCCCAGCTCACAACGAAGTTGATCTGTAGCCCAGCGGGCCATCTCTAACCAAGAGTGCATGCTTAGAGAGGTGAGGTAGGAGAAAGAGACCCTGCTCCATTTACCTGGGGTTTTGCTCTCCACTGTCTTTCCTATAGCTATGTCCAGTTATGCCAAGGTGAGCTGAAGGAGCTGTAACTCAAATGCATGCACTCTGTAAAATTCTGCAGCGGGGCAAGAGAGAGAGATGGCAGCCCCCTGTATTTAAAGATCCACTTAGACGTGCCCTGGTCTCCTTCAGAGACTTTGTCCCGCACTTCCCTCTCTGCCAAACACTAACCACCTCTAAAATTCACAGTATCTACTGTGGTTCTGTGTGATGCTGACACCTCTCTGCATCTGAAGCAGCTTCCCCATCTCTTTCTATTTACTTTTAAAATCTAGAGACCGTGAAGGTCTGAATCAGGACCTTCTGCAGAGCAAAATGTTCAACTTTTTACACAGTCATGTTCCTCACAAGTCTATAAACCCTCCTGATCTCCACAGGAGATCAGATGTTTATGAGGGCAAGATATAAACACAGGGACCTCCTGGTATGTGCCTGTCAGTTCATGAAGCACTCGAGGAGCGTGTCCCTTTTCAGAGGCCTTTCTGAACCTTCTGCAAACAATTAAAACATAGGAATACCATAGGGAGAAAAAAAAAATTAAGAATTGAAGAGTTTGTTATGTTTTCAGTCTTCTTCTAATTAACCCTGATTTGGCAGCTTCCTCACTAAAGTCCAAAGGTTTCATTTTCCTTCACATTTAATACCCAATTAAGCACTACTTACCCATGACTAGTTATTCCCTATTAAGCAAAATGAATGCTAATACTGTCTTGAGTAAGAAAAATTGATTACCGTTTCCTAGAATTAGGCTAATAAAACCAATCATTCTGACTAAATGCATCTCAGACTGGAATATACTTTCTGCACCCCATTTCTTTTTAAGTTCTAAAATTGTGCTCTCTGCTTTGTTTTGTTTAAACAATAGTGTGATGCAATTTGGGCAGGGGGGACATTATATTGTTTCTCTTAGAATGCTCTGGATGCAGACAAACCTTCTTGGTTCATTATTTTGATTTGCATCACTGACTTGAAAGTGGGAAGTGCAAGTGCTTCAGAGAATGTACTTCAAGTCACCCTTATTCAGCTGCATCCTCTGTAAACATCTGTCCCACTGCCATGCTATCTTGTACCGTCTCACAAATATAACATCTCTCTCGACAAATATCCTTACACCTTCCTCAGCCACAGACACGTTTTCCTGGGCCTCAAATCCAGCATAAAAGGCAGGAGAAGCTGCCATAGTCATGAGAGTGCTGCAGAGCTGCAAGCTGGCACAGGGAGTGCAGATCTGGGTTACGAAGGAAATCTCTAGTGCCATAATTCATGAGATACGCAGAGGAGCGGATTCACTCCCACCACAACCAGCCTAGTTCTCTCCTGAGCAGCAGAGGGAGGAATGCAGCAGGAAATATCTGATGAGATTCACCAGGCAATCCCTCGTCAGCTCTCGATTTCACCTGCCTCTCCTTGTCCCCCCCTTACCCACAGACAGCAGCAGCACTGTTAAATCCCATCCTCCAAAAGCTCGCTTGACTTCTTGCGACAGGAAAAGATGGGCCCTGTCTTTTCTTTGCACACAGCTGAACAGAGCTTCCTCTGGGCTTCCCTCAGTGGAACTTACTTGGTTTCCACAGGATGATTTGGTATGGCCTTAGGGTGAGTCACTGACTAAGATTAAAAGGTTTTTGTGTTGTTAAAAGCCAAATGAGGCAAAGTGAGGAATGCCCTGTCAGCTTCCCAGCTGGGCAGCACCAAAAATACACACGCTCTCATTAGCTTTCATATAGTATAATGAACTTTATGAAATATCCTTTGTAGACAGACTCTGAACACACTCACCTAGGGAGATCATGTTGTCTCCTAAACATTCAGAAGATAATTTAAAGACAAAATTTACTGCAATGAACATGCAGCAGCTCAGAGGGAGCTGGAAGAAGGCATTTCAGGGGAATGGCGTAGCACACCCTCACATCTTTCACTTCTCTGAGAGCTTCGGGCAGGAGTGAAGGAGAGGCAAACAAGCAGAAAAAGCAGAAATTGCTCTTTCGAAAGCTGTAGACCCTCATGGCCACCCTTGGACTGCCAGCGCTGCCCCAAGCCAACCTCCCTGCAGACACAAAGCAATCTTTGGCAGCAGAGTTTACTGAAAACTAATTTGAGTTTTTAAGAAAAAAAACTCCACAAAAATACAGAAGCAACCAATCAACCTCTCATTTCTTCTCCCCAAACAATGAAAGCACGGGGGTTTTGCACAAGACGTATAACTGTCTCCAGCTCCCCCTGTTTTTCATTTTTCTTGGCTCCATTTTTTTCCTCCCCAACACTTCCTGCGTGGCCTGAGCAATTCAGCCTGACAAACATTAGCTATGAAGTAGAGCTTTTCAATTTGTAATCTTGACGATATCATTAGTTCTCTAGCTGACATGCTAGCATATATATTGGATGACAAATCAGGCTCCAGCAAGCATTCATAAACCCACCATTCTGCAGAGAGATTAATCCAGTGCGTATTGTGTAACTGGAGGTCTCTGCTCTGGCACAACTAAGCAATGAAATGAGCGGCACTGCATTATGACACTAAATTCAGTTAAGATTCATCAAAGAAGCAGGTGAAAAAGTAGCATAATGTCTACTCATAGAGTCTGTCCTCCAAAAGGAGAGTGCCTCGGCAGTAGAGATTCTCCCAATATGGGAGGCTTCACGCTCTGTGATAGAAAGATCTTTCCAGTTGGAAAGAATTTCACACCACTTTCAAAGAAAAAGGATATTTCTCACGTCTCCCAGTCTTTCACCTAAGAATACCAAGGCTCAGCATGACCCTTAAAGATGGCCCACAGAAATAAGCGGGAAGGCAATGCCTCCTTACTCACCCATCGAAGACACTGGCTGCAACTGGATGATGAAGCAGACACAGAAAAACAAGTACTGGAACATCCCACTCAGCCAAGGATCAGTTACCACTCCAGTAACAGAGGCCTGAAAGCCCTTGCACACACTGTGGCTCTTGCAGTCTTCCTCTCGGTGGAGCGTCTGACTCCAAGCTTTCTGAAGAGCAAGTGTAATCGCTCTCCTGGAAGTCTATCAGAGGAAGAAGCTGAAAGGATGTGGGGTACAGCTCCAGCCTTGACCTCCAGGGAGCAGCTCTGCCCCTTATTGACAACAGAGATGTACTTACTGATCAATCTTGTTTTTTGGACCCAGTCAGCTATTGTCTTCTGGCCCCGACTGCCCCACAGTGACACCCCCACTATCTTATCTGGAGAAGAATTCTAACCAGGGACACCCGGACATCCCGAAGGGATGGAAAAGAAGAACAGATGGGTGCTTGTTGTTATCTCTGCTCCTTCCACAAGTCATATGACTTCACGGCTCCCCACAGGCAGAAAACACCAGCTAGAGAGACTTAACTGCAGGAAATAGTGGCCAAAGGAGAAGAACTGATGCTTCCGAGCAAAGATTGCAGACAAGTGCTCGGAGCAGAGCTACAATGGGAACATCAGTCAAAGTGAAAGACTGGTGTCCCACAGGGAAATAAGCTGTTCCTATGCTACACAAAGACCCTTCCCACTGCTGGTCACACAACCTGACCGTTGCAATGAGATTATCAAACAAGGCAAATAAAGACATTTTTCTGCAGTAGTCTTATGATCTCTGTCTTTAAAACTCAAAACCAAGCCAACAATCAAGAAACCAAACGTTACTGAATTAACTTCCATGCAAAACTGGGTAACGAGAACCTCTGCCTTACCGATTCAAATCAAACTAGGTTGAGTTGCAGGCCATAACCATAAGTTCTGGCTATAGATGAGACGTAACACTCTGAAACCTGTTCTCCACTAAAGCAAACCATGCACCACGACTGGCAGCGAGAAATACTAAGGACAGCATGAATAAGCAGACAGGGATCTCTCTCAAGCCACTAGCTGTAGCTCTTATGATAGACAACAGATTTAAAGCTCTGTTTTCAACACGGATGTACACATACACATTGACAGGTCCTTCCCTGCTTATGAACAATGGTCGTACAGATCTTCTCCAGGAAATAATCTGCAGAGAGAAAGCTCTCCGTTAGCATAGAGTATGGCTAAGCCTACAGGAACTGCACAATCAAGCAAGTGGAGCCATTTCCCCATTTCCTTGCACCCTGCCATTTCCACAGCAGGCTGGCGTAAGGAGTAACGTCAAGGTTGATGTGCCAGTTTCAAATTCCAGTAAGAAAAAAACGGGTCCGTTATTTTCATACTGAGTTTGCATGAGACAAGGAATTGGGTATTTGCCTACTCTGCAGAGACTGTACGTGATAAAAAGTTCTCAATGGCCTCTCTCTGTCTGGGTGTTCCCCTGGCAGTGAAGTGCAATATGCTGCTCTGCTCCATCCTAGCAGAGGAGTCTTTTTCAGTGGTGAATGACTCTAGGGAACAACAAAAGCTGCTTTATAAATGACTGTCATTGCTTCCACCAAAAAAAAAAAAAAAATAATCAAATCTGTGGCAATATTGTGCTGACAGCGGTGCAGTACCAGAAGTTTTTTCAACAACAGGAAAGGAGAACAAATTCACTATGCAAAGCTAGCAAGGCAGATAACCCTCAAAAGGTGATTATGTGAATTCCCAGAAGAGAAACTAAAATTGAACAGAGAATAATACAAGCAGCCACAGGAAGTTATATTTTGCTATTTTCATTGAGAGGTTGATTCATACTTAAGATCCTGGGTAAATTAAACTGACAAGCTTGAATTGAATTTTCTGTTTGCATTAAAGGTGCGTATATTTCGCTGAACCATTTCATTACCAACTGCTTTTATTTTTGTAGGTGGTATATTAGGCCTGACACTAGTGATGTTTTGACAGTTATTTGTAAGTGATTGACAATTAATATAGGGAAAAGGACTGCCTCATAGCAGCTTTAAGCCTCAAAGGTGTCACCAACAGGCCCAAGTTCTCTAAAATGGATTAAAGCAGCAGATGTCCCAGCATTCCCAGAAATGACACTATCCCAAATCACCATAACATCTAGTTGAAGCATCAGTCTAAAGCTGGAGATGATTTAGTGCGCTGTCTCTGCATGTTCTTGGGATCCACAGAAAAGACAAAGACCATCTGAGTCTTCTGGAAGAAGCACCAGAGGCATCTTTTCTATCAGCACTTTCTCTTCGCTTTGCAAGTTATTTCAGGTGATATATATAGCTCTAGTTCCTCCAGAAATAATAATAGCCTGTATTAGAGTAGGCCACTGCAAATCTATGCCTCGGGGAGCTGGAGCAATTATTCCTGAGAGGGGAAGAGGGGGGAAAAAAAAAAACCCTAAACAGAAAACCGTCCTGCAAACCAGCCCTCTGGGAGAGAGGGTACAATTCTAATGAAGCACTCTAGACGCTGTAGGGCCTGCACTCTCTAGGCAGTTCTGGTAAATATATTGTTCCCAACCTCTGCCTCCCCACCCCAAAGACAAGTGAGTCTGACTTCACAAGAAGCAGAAAGAATCAAGATCAAGCTGGTATTTCTTAAAAGTAGTCACCAATATGGGTTAAAAGATATGAAGAGGGAAGGCAATATTAAAATAGAGGGCTGGGATTTTATTTTGGTACCCAACAGAGGGGATCTTCTAAATCTGCTGCTGTCTAAGCCTGGGTATGTCCATTCTTATGCAAGAAAGGATGCTAATTTTGCAGGCGGCAACAATGCTTCTTGCCCCTCTCAGAGATTTGGAGGGCTTTACCATCCTTACACAAAGCAAAAATTCTTCAAAGCATTAGCTAGACCGGAAAGCCTCATACTGTTTGTAACGGACTAATGAATAAAGACGCTTTGGTGTTTGCTGAAGCTGGCCTTGGCTTTGTCAGAGCCACCTCTCGAGACACACTGATGTTTGATGAACGCGAGATGTGTGAAGAACAGCTCTTGGTGCAGGATTAACTCCCACGCCTGCCGAGGAGGAGCAGGCGGAAGAGCTAATCAGCACTTCCTGCTGCCGAGAGAGAGGAGAACCCGACATGCACGACAGGATCCCTGTCTGCAATTGATTTGAGGATGTATGGTCACAATAAGCCTTGACAGGCTGCTGAGATGGATTGCACCGAAGTCAAGGACTTAGAGATAGGCCTTGTTGCTGTAAACAACTCGTCCCAGGACACAGCGCCAATGGGATCAGGGAGTGAACATGAGTTTGGTGAAGTGTGAGCAAACTCAATACAAGAAAAAGTAAAATCCCAAGACCGTATTAAAATCGGACAAGTACATAACTCCTAGTGAAGAGCAGCAGTTATTTCCTTTCCCTCAGTGCAGCCCTGTGATGCAGAACTTGGTATTTTGAGAGTGTTTTTCCACAGGTCCTACAGAACCCAGTGTATTTTCCATGATCCTCAGTTTCTAGATGGACCAATTAGGGCATAGACAGCATACCCACAATTGCTAAACTAGCCAGGGGCAGAAACAGGAGTAGGACCCACCTTGTACAAGTTTATAGAGTCACAATGACACAGCACAAAACCAGCTTCTCCCATACTTCAGGGCTTAGATACACTGCAAGTTTAATTTCCACTCCTGTGTTTTACTTTTCACCCCTTCAATATAAGTATAGAAAACAAACTTTTTTTTTTTAAAAGGGAATAATTGGAATCTCTTCAGATAGGTAGAAAAATACGGAAGATACAAAAATCTCCTTCCCGTGTGAAAATAAAGTCCTACAGTGTGGCACAGAGGAAAGCAGTTTGCATTTACAAAAACCACAGAGGAGATCAAAGAAATAGTTCTACTGGCTCAGAAAGACAGGGCAACTTAGCCAGCTTCACTTGACTGACATAGTGCCACAGCCTGACAGCCAACAGCAGCTTCAGAGCACCGTGCAAACCCTCTTAGGGCTGACGTGGAAGCGTAAGAACTTGCAGCAAGGCGATTATCATCGCTGCCTGCAGGTAGGAAGGGTTACAGGGGAAAAGAGAAAGGGTTTCTTTGCTCTTCAGAAAAAAGGAGCCACAAACACCTCCCCCCTGGAGAGGCTTGCAAGGTAGAGCCTCACGGGCATGGCAAAAAAGGAAGCTAATACATTTCTCCAGACAATTTTGAACTTGACATGTATTTATTTGAAAGCTCCCTCACAGCAAAAAAGGAAAGAAAGGTTAACCAAACAAATAACAAAATTGGTAGAAAAAGCAGCATCTGAGCACTGCAATGCACACTGCTGTTTATCCCTCATAGGGCCTTAAGAATGCAGTGTTATATCAAGATTCAGGCAGCACTGCCTGCTCTTAAAGTGCTGTCAGCAGGACAGGACCCTATTACCTGCCTGGCTCCTAGCATAAAATAGCTACTGCAAGAGAGTTTGTTGATGTTGATATACAACAATGGACATCAGGAGAGCAAACAAACATCACCCTTCCCTTCAGCATTAGCATTCAAGGGCAACAAAGGCAGAAACACTGAGATTTGAGTTTGAGGCTTGTGGCATGTCATCTGCCCCCAGCAGAGACCACGTGTGCGCTGGTGGTGCAGAGCGGAGTGAGACTGCAATCTTCCAGGGGTACAGACTAACAAGACACACCGGACACCCTGTATTTCAGCGTGCAATTTTAGACTCTTATTTTACTCCTTTCAACACGTCATCTCTCGAACAACATTAAAGCATGTGCAGGAACAATTTTGTCACAGCATTTTCTTGCTTTCAAAATAGGAATTGTGATGCTATATGGCAAAGCCTTCGGTTCTGCTAGATGCCAAAATGGGCAATTTCTTATGCAACTGATCCAAGCAATTTGTCTAGGGAGGGCAGCAGCTCATCTGTACACAGCAGCAGACAGAGTGCTGCTTGGAGGAAGAGGGTTCGTCAGCATTGCTGAACTAAATTTCAACAGTGATAAAAGGTAAGTCACAACAACTAACAGCTTCCAGCCCCTCCTCTCTGACTTTAAAAAAAGACAAGTGAGTTGGCTGTTTTAAAAACTGGCCAATCATGGATTTTTTTTTTTTCCTCTTTGAACAGTCAATGGACATGATAGAAACCTTCTGGCACAAAACGTCTCATCCTAACATCCCATAAAGTTAGGACAAAGTACAGTCCGCTGATTCCCAAATTTAATGAACGAACGATACGTCACCATGACAAATCAGACCACAGCCATTCAAGGGCCCAGAAAGAAAGTAACAGAAGCTTAATACTTCCGTTTTCCTCTGAAACAGCACTTGAATGCAATATAGAAATACACGGACACCACTTGGTACCTTTTAGGTTGCTGGGCATTACATGCTCACATATATTCTTATCCTGCAATCTGCCATATGTCTCCAGATTTTGTTAGCCTCCACATGGAGCTACTATGCCGGCCAAACAAAGGCAGATCTTTGTTAGACCAAAAATCTCTACCTCACCACCTCAACTGCTCCTGAGATCCCTGTGTTACGCAGCTAGGCATGGCAGCAAGATCTCCATCCGAGCTTCTTCAGGAAAGCTATTATCTGCATCACCACGGCCTCAGTGATGTAAGGTCAAGAAGAAACAACCTAAACAAAAAGAAATGGAGGAAACTCAGGAGACAGCTGCCACACATAAAATGTTCTCTTCTCAGCTGGGGAAAATAATGTTATTCAAGAGCACTGATTCAAAAATTGAATAGTTATTTATTGTTCCAGAAGTACATTGCTCTTTTATACATATTTCATAAATGATACAGGATTTTACACATGTTCTGGTTTTGTTTGTTTTGTTTTGTTTTTTAAGGACTTTTCTCCATGCTCCCTCCCTCATCCCAAACACACACCAAGGATTCAGCTACAGGATTGTGTTCACCTTTTTTTCCCTTTAAAACTCACCACACAAACAGATTAAAACAGATAAAAAAATAATCACACAATGTAATTAAATTGAAAGACAGAGGAAAAGGGGAAGGGAAAAAAAAACCCTAGAAACATGCACCCATTCGGTCCAACATGCCATTGAGTGAGAAGAGGCAGCAATCCCAGCTGTGTTTCCACATCTGCAAGGCACCTGGCATCTAGTTAATAGTGATTTGTTTTTTGTCTCTTTTTTTTTTTTAAACATGGCTCTCCAAAAATAACAGAAGCCTTTTTCCATGACACAGTGAGGAGTAGTAGTGAAACATCAAAAGAGCAGCTAGTCTTTCTGTATATAAAGCTTAGTGTCCTTCTCCCACCTTCATCCTGTCTCCACAGTATTTATCAGCAGGACGCTAAAACAGACTGACCTGCTTTGAATGAAGAGATGTTTTATCTGCTTAGAAATCAGCCAGCCTTGGCTAGAAGAGAGGGCAATGGGTTGACTTTCCTTCCTCTATTTCTTTTAGCTAAGAACAAGAGATGTCATTAGCCACTCCTAAGAAATTCTGACCTGTGGATGCAAAGTTCATTTAAAGCTACTTAATTAGGGGAAAGTGCTAGAGAACTAAAGTAGTTCTGTGTCTTGCACTGTGAAAGGCCCAGACTTTCAAAAAGCCTCTGGGCAAGGAAAATGCTTTGACCGTGTATGAGACCTTTTATCCCATTACACAAGCAGTCAAATATCAAGTTTAGTTATTCCATATTCCAAAACTTTTCATTTAAAAGGAGAAGTCATGATTCGGTCACAGTTTCAGAACCCTTTAAGCTTTCATAATTTCATAGTCCAGGTGGCTATCAGATTTGGGGCAGGAAGAAGGGAATTTCCCTCCTTTAAGACAGATTATAAATAACCTCTCATGCAATGCTGCCATTGATTTCTAGAAGGAGCTCAAGGGCATTGGGACGCAAAGTTTATATAGTTATTATGGAATAATCCAAAATATCAATTATCAAATGTCCAGAAGAAAACTCATTCCTTCTCTCACTTGGCTGCAACCAATCTGTGCTACAAATAAGCAAAGGAGAAAGTCAGTGGAGCACATGGGGTGGGCTGGGAAGGGGAAGCTCACGGTTTTCCAGTAGAAAGCAGTCTTGTAGTAACTTTATAAAAGAGACCAGGTCTGATCAGAAGTGTGCGTGTTAATGGCGGTGGAGTGCAAGTTCTGATCCCCAGCCATAGCTCCAGGTGGCTTGGATTCTTTGTTCTCTTTTTTTTTTCTCCTTTTTTTTTTTTTGAGAGAGAAAGAGAGATCTGAATCAGGTAAAGGAAAATTTAAAAAGCTAAGCAGGCTGCTGGTGTCTTATCAAGAGGCAGATCCTGCAAAGCTGGAAGAAGACACCCCTACACCCCAGCATGACATTCTTTTCATTACCCGCCCCCCAATCCTGTATTTGTACACAATTGCCATTCAGACAGTTTTTAAATGTGACTATTTGCCAAGCCCTTTTCAGAACTAACATTCCACAATGTCCCATCTTCAGATTTAAGAGATTTCCCTCCCCTACAGTCTTTTGTCTTGATTAAAGGTAAAAACCCTCCACCCGACACCACCTCCCAGCTTCCACCTGCAATGCTTTAATTAAAAAGGCAAGAGCTATGAACAGGTTTTTTGCCGGGGTTCAGAGCTTCTTTGCTGATCAGTCCTTCTCATCAATTTGCTGGATGGGCAGGTGAACCTGCAGTGGGTCTCGAAGCCTCTTAAGGTCCAATTCTGCCTAAAAGTAAAAGACACATTATAAAAAACAAGTTCCCAATACACCTTCCCCAATACCACTGCCCTTTACACAATGAAAAGCTTTTCCGCATTTCCTTATTTTTCCTGTCCAGAAGGGAAGCGTTCAAAAAGTAAAACAAAGTCACAGGTTCATATTTGGGAAAACCATTCTCAGCACTTAAAAGACATTTGGCTCTGTACGTCTCTAAACTTGTCTAGATGCAGCCACTTCAAACGAATATGGTAGGGAAGATTTGATCCCCATAAACTCACTGGAAGCTTTTTTTTTTTTAAAAAAAAAACCCTAAGCTGGATTAATGGGAATGGTTAATTATAGAAGAAAAGCTCCATGAAAATACAGGCAACCCATAGCTGTGAAAATAAATACCCACAGGGTATCCATGTTCAACATGGCATAAGAAAATCCAGAGGTCTTTCTGGGTTTTCTCATGACACCGGAAGAGCCTAGTCCTGACCTCCCTTACTCCTCGCACTGCTCCTTCTCCAGCACACGGGGAGAACACATCTTGTCCTGGATATCCTACACTGTCATTTCCAGAGCCTGGGAATAAACAGAGAATGATATGGAGCAGTGAAAAAGATTATGGTAGCTCTGCTTTTTCTGCTCATGACATCCTTCTGCAGAAAGGCTCTCAAAAACACAGGGAAAGATCTCTACTCGACTCCTTTGTTGTATAGATCTCACAATGTGGACAGTCTGCCAAAAGCATCTGTCTGCAGAATATGAAAAATCTGCCCCCACTGCCTCTAACAATACAGCTAAATTTTTTTGAATGTTTTTTTTTTTTTCCAGGACTGCAACCCAGTGCGCTGAAGTGCTATGTCAGGAAGACATGAACTGAATGGATGTAAGTCTCCGTTTCTCACTAAATCCAGCTGGTGTGTAGGAGCTGAGAAGAAAGGAAATCTTGAATTAGGCTCCTCTGAGGCAAGAAGTGCCTGAAGCAACTCAAGATTTGCCATCAGTTTCTAAAAGGCCCTTACAGATAGATATAGGCAACCGTTTCATGTTGATTTGCACATCCAGCAGTTCTATTCCTGGGCATATTGAAGCCAACTCAGTGATTGTACTGGGGCTCTGACAAGAAAATGGGCTGAAAACTTAAGATATATCCATTCCTGTTTGAGGTGCATCTATTAATAGCAGCTAAGAACTAGCAAGCAGTAATTTCTTTGCCTTATTTCTGGAAAAATTCTCGTTACCTGAGCAATTGCATCTTTGAGTCGATTGTATTTCTCTAGATCAAATCGTGTCTTTTTGGCTCCTTTATGGAAAAATAATAAGTACTGTCTGTCTCTGGCATCTGGATAAACATATTCCTAAGAAGTAAAAAGGAGAGAAGATAGGAATAAAGCCACAACAGGATGCAACGCAGGATACCATTAGCATAGTATGTATCAGGTGTGTTGTGGGACGATGACTAGTTTCTGTCAGTGAAGGCACAAGACCAGACCAGTGCAGTGGGGTGACCCCAGCCAGCAGCTAAGCCCCCACCCAGTCACCCCCCCGCAGACAGATGTGGGGGAAGAGAATCAAAAGGGCAAAAAATAATAAAAATTTAAGACTCAAGATAAAGACAATTTATTAAGTGAAGAAAAAAAGAACAAACTTAAGAGTGATGCAAAACCAATCACTCACCACCTCCCACCAACAGACCAATGCCCAGCCAGTCTCTGAGCAACAGCTACATTGGAGAAACTCCCCGCCAGTTTATTGCTGAACATGAAATATCTCTTTGGTCAGTTCAGGGCAGTTGTCCCGGCTGTGTCCCCTCACAATGCCTCACCCACCCCGAGTCTATTCCCAGGGGTGAGGTGGGGTGGAGGGGGTTGTATCAGGGAGGAACAAGAAACAGAGAAGGCCTTGATGCTGTGCAAGCATTGTTCTGCAATAGCAAAAATACTGGTGTGTCATCAAGACAGTTTTGGTCACACATCCAAAACACAGCACCATACCAGCAGCTACGAAGAACATTAACTCCATCCCAGCCAGACCCAGTACAGTCAGGCATTTGCTTCTCTACTAGTATGTTATGCTCCAGCTGTGAGTTACCATCACCCTCCTCCCATCCTGAAAGCGTGGATCCTTCCAAGCAGAGAGAACAAAAACTAACACATTTCAGGGTTCCAATACTGACAAGTTTGTGGGGAGAAAGGGAGAAAAAAAAGCTATAAATACCAGAAAAAAGCCTTTGTAAGATCAGCCTTGCTCTCTTTTTCTTAAGATCCTAAGCATGCAATGGCCAATTAAAGCAACAATAGTTGCTCCTGAGTTCATCTCTCAACCAAGCTATGCAAGCGAAAACAAGAACCCAATACCACAGCTTTTGCCAGGGATACCCTGCTGCAAAAAGTCACAGCTTTTTAGAGCATGCAGATAACTCAGAGCAGCAGAGTTGTTCACACCAAATCCCACATAGCCTCTGCAAAGCTAGAAGTTAGCTCTGCCTTGCACTGGAACATCACACAGCCTCTGTGTCTGGTATGGATCCAATGATCGGGGCTGTCAGGTGGAAAAAAGCTGCAAAGTCATGCATCCCTGAAACACTGAGATGTTAAGGTCTGGCAGAAGAGGTACTCATCAATACAGGTGACGATTAAAACATCAAATCGGAGTTCAAACATGGCAGAAGTGCCAACCGCACTTGGCAGAAACTATTGCAGCAGCCCCAAAAGGGGTACGCGTGCCCTCAGCCCCTGAAATGATGCAGCTGACGGACCTCTGGGACACCACACTGGAACACCTGCAGTCTCCATTCTGCTGGTCTTGTGACAGTAGAGACTTTGAGCCCTCCCTCCCTTATTATTTAGGTTATGATTTTAGATTATTAAGTTTAAATGGGAGTGATGAGACAAATCATGTACTAGAAAATTCACGCAGACTCTGTCACAACCACAAGGATCCACAGAAGGATCCTTCATCTGGATGGGAGGCCAGCTCCATGAAAAACTTAAACAGAAGCATTTCCAACAAGATCCCTGAACCTTGGTCTCTTTAAAAAGGCCAGCATCTCACGTCACAGAAGTGGGCTTCCTTGAAACTCAGAAGGCACCTCATGCACTTATAGTTTATTTGGGCTGATAAATCACAGCACTTGGCAGCCTCCAATGCAAGTCAACATGTGCGAGGCTGCACGCATGTGCGTGCAGAAACCATTATCTGTCAGCAGATGAACCTGTATAGCTAAAGCAGTCCATCACCAAATGTACATAAGCATTTATGGTAAGACAACCAGGAAATCAGCAATGACCACCACCAGAAAACCCCCAACCATACACACCACCATCCTGGACAGCACAAATTAAATCAAGCGGCATCTGGGTTCTGACGGGATAAGGAAGGGGCAAAGCTACTTCTAACAGGCATCATTTTGCTATTTTTCTAAGGAGCAGAGCTCAAAAAGTCTTCTACTGAAGTGTCAACGTCAGCACAACAAGTCCTACCTGGCGAGTCATTACGAAATAAGCATACATTGCCATGGCACTACCATAGGTGATGAAATAGGTGACTGGTTCCATAATGTCCCAAGAATACTCCCACCAGGTGAGGCGGGCCAGAATCCCAAACTGAGTGGCCATGTAGGCCAGGCCTCCCCACAACACCAAGGTTGTCCTCTTCTCTGCTGTCCTGCTGAGCTCCATCCTTACCTGCAGAAGACAGAAGCACACACCTTGTATTCTCAAAATAATTACGTTAATATCATTAAGAGATAATGTAAAAATAGCACCTTGTATTGATATTTATGTTAAGTGGTGTGAAACACATGATTTGAGTCCAGATTATGCGGACAAATCTAGACTTCTTTTCCATCAGTATCTTGCCATCATCCACATTTTACTGAGCATGCTCTGAATGCCTCGCAAAGATGTTTATTTCCTTATGTTCAGAGATGTTCTGTTGCACTAGCCCCAGTCTTTATTTACTAACAAGTTTGTTTCCAATTATATAAAGCAAGGAAACAAAATACTTCCACAGAAACCAGAAACAGACATGGTTTGGTATACCCTTAGCACATCTTCTGTTTCAGTGATCTTAAAATTATTTGAAGCATGGCAGAGATCTAATTAAAACCTTGAAATACATTAAGGCTGCATTTGGAGGATAACTAAGATACAATGAGAAACTTCTCACTTTTTCTAGTGGTGCTAGCTGCTCCTTCAATTCCTCTAGTCTCCCTATCAGCTCCTTCTCTTTGTTCAGCTGGTGCTCCTCAATGCACAAGGCAGTATACAACTGTTCACATCATTCAGCGTCGTTGCATTTTCATGGCTTAAGAGTTCTAGGGGAAAAAAAAAACAAAACACAAAACCAAACAACAGACTGCTTTATATGCATGTATCCATAGAACTTCTCATATACTCTTGAGAAACTGCTAGTAGTCTGCACGGGAAATGTATGAAACTATCTTTTCAAGACAGAAGCCTTTGGAAGAGCTCCAGCACTCTAAGACAATGCAATTTCTTCAAAAGAAAACCAGGCTATATTATTGGATATTCTGAAAAATTTGATAAGAACAAGGAAAGAGAGGCACATACTATTAAGCTTGCCAGATATCAACAGCTACTTCTGGTCCATATTTATATACGAGACTTAAGACAAATGAACAACTAAACTAATATGATCCATCACACCAGCTGCTAAGACACAGTCAGAATTCAGACTACAGACCATCAGCAACCGTAGTTATTGATGACAGTAACCAAACATCTTGGGATAGTAGTCCCAGAACATCCAGTCTTACGATAATTACTTTGAGTACCAATGCCAGGAATTTTTTCCCAACACTCTGTGGGCAACCCCCTGCTGTGCTGCCTACAGGGCAAAGAAATTTTCCCTCACAGTATTATTTAAATAGAGACAGTAACAGGGCCACTAGCTGAAACTGCCTTTATCCCTGTATTTCAACACAAAAAGGATTCCTAAAGGAAATCAATTTCTAAGAGAGTTGTGACTAGTGGTAATGTATTACACACTCCGTATGTGGAGAAAAAAAAAACAACCAAGTTTGAAATTAAAGGAAAAGAACCTCACATTACACCAATAAAGAAATAAATTTAAAAAAACCCACGTTTTTATAGCATCCTTGGGCTCGTACCTTCGGTTATCTTCTCAAAATATGATTTTACCAACGCATAAAAGCTATGGACAGCTTAAGTTTTAACACTAGCAGCTGAAGGGAAAGAAGCGACTGAGTCGTCTGTGCCAAGGCACACAAAGCACACCATATCCCCCTCCCAGCTAAAGGGCTCCTGTTCCCCCATGAAGAAAAAACCCCACATGTTCTGAAGTGACCACCAAAAAGTACTTAGTATTTAAGATCACAGTGTTCTGTAAATACACAGGGTGATTTTGTAAAAAAATGGAAAAGCAATAGCTGAAAAGTTTAACAACTAATCTCAGTGCCTATTTACAGGCACATTCATTTTAATACAAACTAACTATAGAAATCTCCCTGGCAAATGAATCAGAGGCAGCAATTTCATGTAACCTAGGTGATCCCTGAGCTCACCTACCAGTGCACAATGGGTATATCATACAAGCGAGCTAACCAAAAAACATACCGACTCACTAACACAGACTTTGCTCCTTCAAATGTTAGATAAGTGGGATGTATGGATTGCCTTACCTTGGGACAGCAATTTCTCCAGTGCAGAAATAGACACCATGTTTGCATTCTCATTCAGTTGTATTAAAAATTACAGACTCGACCAGTTAGGTTTGATACCATCACCTGCTCCAAGGGCTAACAGTTAGAAGAGATCCCTTTTTAAAATCCTCACTCCACCTCTCTGGCTTACAATGTCTTAGAGGTGTGTGAAACCACCACATTCAGGACACAGAGCAGTGGGGTGACAGAGCAGAGTGTAACATTTTTGTGTGTGTGATATCCAGCAATTTAGATACCCAGCCTTAATGGAGAATTTTCTGTTACAGCACTTTTAAGGAGACTGGAAAAAACTATCTCTAGGGGAGGTCAGTCTAACCCGAAGGTAGGGGAGAAACAGCATCTCACCCAACGCTGCACTTGCAATTCCAGAGTCTCCCACATACTAAGGACAAGCGGCTACACAAAGTTCCCCGAGTCAGAAATTTCTTTTTTACTTGGTATTCTTCTATTGTGAACAATAAAATGCTAGGATACATCTTATTATTTTCCTTGCAAAAAGGTCCTTGGAAGCTAACTACATCTACAGAGGAAGATGGCATATGTCAGTAGATGTTCTTAGAAGTCAGCCACCCAGGGCAGCGTCACAGACTCAAAAGGTATGGTCAGTCTCCTGATTTTTGATAGATCAACCTGCTTTAACATGTTGCCTTATTCAGGCTGGTCAAGATGGGAAAAGGAACATTAACAGTTCCCTTACAGCTTTCGCCTTATGCATGATTTTGTTCATTATCTACCGCTTGAAGAGAAGCATAAGAGAAGGCAGCCCAAACACCAGGGAAAACATTCAGAGAAATAGGGGAAGGCATTTTCACTGTCTAACCTCAACTGGACATGCAAGTCAAGTTATAAATCCTTCCTAATTTGTTTGCCGAGCTACAGGGCTAAAAATTCTTTTTAGAAAATTACTGCTTGCAAACTTCACATTATGCCTGCGACAATAACAGAACAGTAAGGCAGACAAAAATCCCCCACTATCCTTGAGCCAAGCAACTAGCAGACCAACACTTCCCAAACCCATTCCTTTTAAGTCTTCAGAGGTAAGCACAGACATCCAAAAACCTGGTGCTTTATGAAGCCTATAAAGTTGCCTAGGAGAAAGAGTAGACAGTCAATGAAAATATCAAGTTCCTGCCCCCGCCAGTAATTCTGGAGTGTCTCGAAAGCTTCTTGTAAGTTTTCACATCTTGAGAATTACACAAGTGTCCAAAGTCCATTAGTTAAAAGTATTTTCTTATTGATTCAAAATAGGTTGGTTTCTCTTCCTATTTGACTCTTAACAACGTAACCTTGTAAGAGCGCGGTTTTATTTACTTCACTGTTTGATAGCTAACAAGGTTTCAAGGTTCATTTGCAATATTCAAAGTGCCACAATTAAAAGGAAACAATGTTAACTGTGAGGTGAGGGAATGATTTATTCTTCCAAATTAGATCATGTAAGTTTCAATCTAATTCCCATTTTGTATTGTACTCCTTCAGAATGAGTTAAATTAAATTGCTTTTCAGGAGTTAGGAAAAAAAAAATCAGAAAAACTTTAGAAATTAAAAGAAATTACATTTCTTCATTTATTCCTCTTATGGTGGGTACTGGCTTTGAGCAGAATGAATATTTGCTTTTCATTACTGACTACTCCGATTACTTAGATAACACTAAATTAGACTCCAAGGGCAGGATTAGAAACTGCAAGGTTTCCTTCAGAAATAACACTTCGTGTTCCTGAACAAGTTAATAAAGCATGCTGCAACTAAATAGGGAACTGAATACTGAAATTTCTTTCTGATGGTTACCGGAATGAGGCTCGTTTACCTCTCTTTGGTGGTCTAACATGATATGTGACATCATTAATGATCAGTTTGAAGTCATCCAGTAGAAGCAAATCTATGCCTGTGGAGGAGGCGACACGTGTGCCATCTGTAAGGCAAACATAGACGACTCGTGAAACAGTAGAAACAAAGTACCTAAACTTGCTGTGGCTAAGGTGTAATGCCATCCCAAATCCAGTTGGACTTCTACATTTTCGTGCAGATTCTCTCAGTCAAGATGGATATAAATACTGGCGGACCTCACATGGCAAATACTAGCAGAGCTATGTACGCAGTTGCTTTTCTACATATGTGATACTTGGGATCATCTTATAAAAAGCAGTTCCCTTCATCCCACAATTTAGTACATCCCACAAACAGTACAATCCACTTAAGTGACCTTCATCTCTCCCCACTGGCATCAGAAATTATTTCAGTCTCTGGTATGGGACAGTTTTGACATCATTAACCTCCCAGGCCAGGACTTTTAAGGAAACACCTGCTTTGACAGCAGTTTCCTAAGATATCTCAGCAATGGTTCAGAGCTTTGGTGGCTAGCAGACATGTAGCAATTGAGCAGAACAGTGAACTAAGACGTTAAGTGCAACATGACTGAGTTTACATAGTTAAGCAAGATACTGTTTCCCTTGTACCACCTTTCACACCCAATTCCTTACAAATTGGGTAGAACCCCTACAAAGGTTGCATAGCTTACATCTTTCCTACTAAAGAGTAAGAAACTCACCAAAACCACTTCCATTAGGACTAATGTCTATAAGCTAAGCATTAGGAATGTTTTCCTCCTCCTTCACTCTACAGTCAGATTTCCTTGGCAGACTTGACTACACAGGGATAGCTAACAATATTCTTACTCTGGGAATGGCATTTCTACCTTTTACTTTTTCAGGAATGTCGAAGAACTCGCACCATAGCAAATGTTTACTTAAAAAGCAAAAGGCTGGATGAAAATACTCCGCAGAAGCAAGTAAATCGATTAGTCTGTAAACAATGGTACCTGCTGAGTAGATTGCAACCCGATCAATTCCTCGGTCCTCTGCTTGCAGCTGTTGTAAGAACACACCAACAGAGTCTGAGATAGGTTTAAGCGTGAACTGGCAACGTTCACGCCGGGATGGAAGATTCACAGAGATCACAGGTAACCCGTTTTGGTAAACCACCGTCACTTCTACAAAGAAGACAAAAAACCCACAAGTTTATCATCAAAATTAACAGATCTTCTCATAATAGTTCTCTATTTGTCCCATGGAGAAAGAAGCAAACGTGGTTACGGGCTAAAACATAAGACAGACTAAAATTTTGGTTTGTCTTTTATCAATAGATGTGTCCATCAAAGAAATACTGAGGGATGTCAGAGGTTTTCACTGCCATTAACATGGCAGTACCTGTTAAACTTTCTGTGCTTTGTGGAAGAGATACTTACTCTAAGCACAATCACATTTATGCTAAAGGCAACAAGATATCCAAAAGCCACAACATTGCAGCACAGTACATCTAGGTTAGTTGTTGAGAACCAAAGTGTTTTGGACTATGGAAGACAAAACACCGTGCCATTTATCAGGATTTATAGCCCAGAAGACAAAGGCAGACTGTGTATATTAGGAAACATCAAGGAAGGACCTACTTCAAACGTTTTTATTCTTGTTTAGTTATGGTTTCCTCCTCTTTGTCCTGAGGCAACAAATATTTAAGACAGCAGTCAGGAGGATGAGGTTGTAGAACAGCACTCTGAGTTTAAGCTTCAAGGTCATTTCATCTAAAATTCATGGGATCAATACACTTTGTACTTCAGAAGATAGCCATTACTCCTTAGGTGTAGATAAAACAACATTTTCCATTTCTTTAGCGCTGTCAGAAGCTTTTTCAAGAGTATTCTTAAGGATTTCAGTGCACCTGTCTAAAATTTATGGTAGAGACCTTTATGAACTGCAAGCTAGTTATTATTTTACTGCCAGAAAGACAGCCCCTTCTGTGTGCTTCGAGATATCCTAACATAGAAAAGAGAAATTAAAAGTTCATATTCCCTAAGCCCTCTACTGAGTCACAGTCAAAACTTTCCCCAAGTGCAGTAATTGCTAAAATATAGCAGCACACCTAAAAATGATTCACTTTGGACCGCTACTTATTTTTCTTATGTAAAAACGTAAGGTCTTTTTTATTGCAAAGAGCATTTGCCATGTCTCAAGGCTTGTGCAGTCACACCCACCCACGCTGCATCTGGCCTAGTATTCCCACCTGTTGCAGCTTTGGCCAACTACGTGAACCACACCGTCTACTTAAACTCATCTAACTCACATATTGACATGCCACGTCAATTTAAGCAGCTAACATCAAAACTAGCTGGTCAAAGAAATCAACACAAGTAGAAATAGAAGCAAACAATGTAATTTTAACTACTGAAGGAAACTATTTCTCAGCA